CAACCTTGCTGTCTTCCATTTGGTCTGAAGAGTGGGTCAGGGTGAATGAGCTGCTACCTAGGGGCTGGTGTGGGCAGGGAAGAGGAGGCTCTCAAGGCTCAAAAAATCCTTAAAGAAGCAGCAGGTAAACCGGGCACTGGTGGCTCACACTTGTAATCCTAGCTACTCAGGAGGCTGAGATTTGAAGATTGCAGTTCAAAGCCAGCCCAGGCAGGAAAGTCCATGAGACTCTTAACTCCAATAAACCACCAGAACACTGGAAGTGGTGCTGTGGCTCAAGTGGTAGAGTGCTCGCCTTGAGAATTGTTTATTTGCATTTTTTCCTGGAGTCAGCCTGAGACCACAAACCTCAGGGACAGCACCAGACCCAGAGTTCAAGCCCCACAACTGACCAAAAAAAAACAAAAAAAGGAAGAAGAAGAAGTAGCATGTCGCATTTACAAATCATTCAGCCAATGTGGGCCAGGGTCTGCACTTGCGCAGAGCCTAGTCTGGGGGACCAATGTCTCCCATCCAGCAGAGAATCTAGAAAACCCCTTCAGTGGGCACTTCCCTGTGAGAGAGCTGAATACATGCCAGGCATCTGCTAGCTGCAGGGGTGCAGTATTCAATAAAACACACTTCCTCCCTGCCCTTAGCAGCACTATAGTGGAGGGATGTGGGAGGGGTCTGGATGTGTCATGCTATGTGGAAGGGGCTCCTGTGGGTGTCTTCAAAGACAGTGTGCCCAGGGGGTGTGTAAAGGACAGGAAGTAAGGGAAGCAAGAGTCTGGGGGACTGGAGGGCCAGAGGGAGTGGCCAGTGGCAGTATTCTTTGCCCTGAAGAAAGCCCTGCACCCAGCTTGGGGGTAGAGAAAGGGGGATAGTGGTGAGGGATGTTGCTAGGCAGGCTATAAGGCCTAGCAGAGCCATGATGCCTTTGGGGAGTTTGGGCTCACCTGGAGAGAGAGGAGGGCAGTGGGAGGGGAGACCAGTAAGAACTCTCATGTGATCTGGGGTCGCCATTTTTCCTAAAAGAAAACATTTTATCCCCTTTTCTTTTCTCTGTCTAATTTTTAAAGTGGTACTAGGATCTGAACTCAGGGCTTCATGCTTGCTAGGCAGGTGCTCTACCACTTGAGTGATATCCACAGCCTTCTTTGGCTTTAGCTATTTTTCAGAAAGGGCTGTTTGTTTGCATTTCTGCCTGGAGTCAGCCTGAGACCACAAACCTTTTTACCTACAATGTCCAGGGTAGCTGGGATTATAGGTATTTGTCCCTACATCTGGCTTATTGGGTTGAGATAGGGATCTTGATAACTTTTTGACTGCATTGGCCTGGATCTCAGTGCCCTTGTTTTTCCCTTCCCAAAAGCTGGATCACAGAAGTGAGACGTCACATGTCACCCTCCACTTTCTTTTCTATTAAAACAAAAAGAATTTAGAAAACTCAAGCTAGAGTGCACCTGCTGTGTCCATGGAGAGAGCATGCAGGGTCTGAGCTCGGATGCCAAAGATGTCTCATTAGTCCGGGCTACTGTTCGTGCTGTGAGCAAGAGGAAGCTGCAGCCCACTCAGCCGCCGTCACTCTGACACCTTCAGCAGTAAGCAAGATAAAACAGCTTTTTTTTTTTTTTTTTGGTCGGCCGTGGGGCTTGAACTCTGGGCCTGGGCGCTGTCCCTCAGCTCTTCAGCTCAAGGCGAGCGCTCTACCACTTGAGCTACAGCGCCGCTTCCGGTTTTCTGCTGGTTTTTATTGGAGATAGGAGTCTCACGGTCTCTACTGCCCGGGCTGGCTTTGAACCGCAATCCTCAGATCTCAGCCTCCTGAGTAGCTAGGATTACAGGCGTGAGCCACCAGCGCCCGGCTAAAACAGCTTCTTAAAGATAAGTCTGAACATGTAGGTGTAAAAGTTGGTGTCCGAACCAGGGGCTGTAATGGCCTTTCTTATACTCTAGAATATACAAAGACAAGAGGAGATTCTGATGAAGAGGTTGTTCAAGATGATTCTGTGCCCTCCCTCCACCCTCCCACAAATACACATGTGAATATACTGTGTGGAAGGAGTCAGAGTATTCATCGAAAAGAAAAAAGCACAACTAACACTTTTAGGAACAGAAATGGACTATGTTGAAGACAAGTTATCCAGGGAGTTTGTCTTCAATAACCTAAACATCAAAGGAACTTGTGGCTGTGGAGAACGTTTTAATATATGAAACATTAGGACCCTTCTGGCTGTAAACTCCAGGAAACCTTGAAAGCTGCTGAAGAAATCATGTGACTGTCCTGTGTCAGGTCTATGATGTGTGGCTGCATTATTGGGGAAATAAAATGATGCATTTTCAAAATAAAGCTGACTGGCTAGAATCCAGAAGATATGATGTTTATACCCTCTGTAGTGGACAGAATTAAGAAACCAGTGCTTGCTGAATTGTTTTTCTGTTCTGTATAGTAAAACACCCTGCCTTGCCTCAACTCTCTTAAATCCTTTGTTTGAACATAGTTTCGTTAAAGTTGATTTTGCTAAATGTTTTGAAAAAAAAAAAGAAAACTCAAGCTAAATAAAAATAATGTATGAGTCCCACCTAGAAGCAGACACTATTGGCTTTCTGGAATGTACCTTTTAGCCTTTTTCTATGGATGTATCTACATGGGGCTGGGAAGGTGGCTCAGTGGTAGAATGCTTGCCTTGTATGTATGAGGCCTTGGGTTCGATTCCTCAGCACCACATAAGCAGAAAAAGCTGAATGTATCTACATGCAGAAATGTGTATATATTATATTCATACATACAATTATATATGCTATATATGATATTCATTCATAAAATATAATACTGTATAAATACAAATATATACAATATTCATACATATATACACACAATAGAACATATTCATTCACACATACATGTGTGTTCTCAACATACTAGGAACATACAGGTACAGCCTAGGCAACAGATGGAGATTCTCGAAGATCATGAATTGGTTGGGAATGGACACAACAACAAACATGCAGGCTTCACAGTAATCTCTGTGCATATCCAAAGGGGATGTTTTTAAAGGCAAAGTGAATAGAATTCTACAAGTACTTCTGAAAGCATCACCCTTGGCTGCTGGTGCCATAAGAAGGGTGGTGCCAGTCAGCTGTTGGACAGGCAGCTCTGGGCTGAGTTTCTTTTGTGTGTCAGGGTGTGATGACCTTTGCCCGAGGTTGTCAAATTGTGGCCAGATCTTTGTAATGGTTCTTGTTGTTAGGCATGCCTACTGGAGATCTCCTCCTTCATAACCCCTGGCTCTGCTTATTTGTCTACATTAGGTTGATTTTTCTCACCAGGCTTATTATGGTATAGGGACCTGATCTTTGCCCCTACTGGAGGAAGAATACCTTATTCTGTCATTACTCATTTTTCCACAAAATGGTAGAAACATGGAGATGTTTGGGGTGGTAATTCTGGTTCAGAAGGCTTTAAGAATTGGGGTGTTCTAGTCACCCAAATATAGAAAGATCTACTAAGCCTTCTCTATGGAAGGTGAGGGTGGAGGAACATTTTTAGTGGAGAAATATATATATATATGTCTGTCATAGGGCTTAACAACTCAGGGCTTGGGAGCTGTCCCTGAGCTCTTTTGCTGAAGGCTAGCACTCTACCACTTTGAGCCACAGCTCTACTACTAGTTTTTAAATGGTTAATGGGGGGTGAGTCTCATGGGGACTTTCTGCCCAGGCTGGCTTTGAACCTTGATCCTCAGATCTCAGCCTCCTGAGTAGCTAGGATTACAGGTGTGAGCCACCAGTGCCCAGTGGTTATTTTTATTTTATTCTTATTTTTGCAAAAAAGAAAAATCTCTTGTTTTCGCTTCTTGGAGTTCATTTCAATAAATATTATTCAATAAATATTATTGATCAGATGCACATAGGCATTGTGTCCTTCTGTGAGGAACCATTTTTTAATAAGACAAAAACAGGAAAAGGAAGCAATGATTCCAACTGCCTTTACAAGGCAGTAAAAACATTTCTTCCCAAATTCTCTTGTCTTTGGAAGTTTTCTTCATAGGTCTTGAGATCTTGAAACATTTTTTTTTTTTTTTGGTAAGGGGGCAGATATCGTCATTAAAAACAACACACCTTGAGCATTTCTGTCTGTTGTCTCAGGATATTTCTCTTTCTTTCTTTCTTTCTTTTTCTTTTTTTTTGTTGGTCATGGGGCTTGAACTCTGGGCCTGGGCGCTGTCCCTCAGCTTCTCAGCTCAAGGCTATCACTTTACCACTTGAGCCACAGCCTTTTCTGTTTATGTGGTACTGAGGAATCGAATCCAGGGCCTCATGCATGTAAGGCAAGCACTCTACCACTGAGCCACCTTCCCAGCCCAATCTCAGGATATTTCTAAGCTATAGTTTCCTCTTCTGTGAAGAGGGAAGAATAACATGCATTCAATAAAGTTGGGGAGCATTATGTGAGAAAATGTATGGGCACAGTAAATGTCCAATGGGTATCACACACTGGTGTTTCCTTTGAAAACTGAGTAGAATAATGAGCACCTACTGCATGAATTCTCAGTTCCCCAAACTAGGCCTTTTAGCACGATGTGATGTGTGGGAGCCTTGAATGTGTCTCCCCATGCTTGGGTGTAGCTCTCATGTCCAGTCTAGGTAGGCTTTCTCAGGTGAATCCTTTCATTGTTTTTAAACAGTAGGTTTGGAAGAGAAGGCTTGGATGCTGTCTGCCTTCCAGCCAAGGGAAGGGGGAAGACACACTAACCTGCGAATGACCTCTAGTTTTCCCAGCCTGTGACACTGAGACTCGGTTTCCTCCCTGAAGAATGGGAACAAAAATGGCGGGTGTTTTGAGGTCAGAGGCAAGGCTTAGGTAATGAGTTCTGGTGGAGTTGGGTGGAAAGATTTGGGGATTTCCTTTCACACTAGTTATGTAATGGGATCAGGTAACCCACCAATGAGGACTGAGCTAAAGGCCAAAGAAGCACCTGGCATTTAAGTGATGTTCTTTTCCTCTTTATAACTAGGAAATCCCGATTTGCACACTGTCTTGGCCCAACCTCGCTGGCGAAATTTCGTGGGATGTGTCTTTTGTTACTTTGAACTTCCTGGTGCCAGGACTGGTCATTGTGATCAGTTACTCCAAGATCTTACAGGTATGTTCGGTTGAAAGGCTGTTGCTGTGGCTGTGGCTGTATTTGGGGCATTGCCGGTAGAATCTTAGAACTCCCGAGTCAGAAGTTACCTTAGAAATACATAATTAAGACTTGAAAGTGCATTTTTGCCAGTCATTTTTCTCACAAATTTATACATATCTAACACATACAGTGTGTATTTAATGAAGCATCCAAGATCACAGACATGATATAATCATTTTATGGGCTATTAGCTTGTGTCCTTTTTCCTTATAAAAACATCAGGGTATAGAATGTGCACTTCTGAAGACTTTTATGGGAGCACCCTATAGGAATAGAAAAACACACCCAGCTTACGTGTTCAGTTCACAAACTGAACTCGCCCACAAAAGCAGTTCCCAGATGGAGGGGAAAAAAAGCTGTCTAGACACCCCTCCTCTCCCTGGGATCCCTAAGAATGTCCGTTTCAAGGGTGTAGGACACAAGAAACAACACACACGTGCTAGCAGGGATGCAAAGGCGACAGGTACCCACTGCTTCCCACCTGTTGAGACAATCATTTGCACGGAAGGTGCTGTCAAGCAACTCAGGCATTTATGCCTGCTATAGACCGCTTACCTCAATGGCCTATATCTTTTGGAGTTGGGCAGTGGTTGAATCTTGGTGTTATAGCATCTCACCCATGGGTCATTTGGTAAATAGAGGTATTGAAGTAGTAAGGCCTCATTGCCTCTTGTCACTTTTTATGGCTCATCACTTTTTGGCTCAGGCCCTGGGGCTTGAAGTTGAGGCCTAAGCGCGGTCCCTGACCTTCATTTGCTCAAGGCTAGTGCCCTACCACTTGAGCCACAATGCCACTTCTAGCTTTTTTTTTGGTAGTTTAGTGGATATAAGAGTCTTACAGATTTTCCTGACCGGACTGGCTTTGAACTACTAACCTCAGATATCAGCCTCCTGAGTAGCTAGGATTGCAAGTGTAAGGCACCAGTGCCTGGCTACCTGTCACTTTTATGGCTAGGGATATGTTACTTTCTTAGATGTTCACAACCCAAAGGCACACCTCTGCCTAGGTCCGGTAGGCCTGTGGGAGATGACCTCTCAGGTTATTAAGTAGAATCTTCCTTATCAGATGATTTATGACCCCTAAAAAAATAAAATGAGATAGTCTTAGGGTTGACTAAGACAATCAAGGTTCAGAGTGAAGGCCTGGGAAGTGTGTGCAGTGGGAGGCCTGGCAAATTTTAATGTTACAAAGGGTTATTGCCAGTAAGTTATGTAGAAAGAAATGAGGGAACAGTAAGAAGAAATGTACCATGAACATTTACATTTTTATTTAACGAATGTTTATGTAGTGCTCATGTATCATCTCATCCTTAGAGGAATTACAGATGACAAACCCAGGCACAGACAGGTCATGCAGTTTATCCAAGATCACAGAGCTTATAAATGCCGACCTGAGGATTAAAACCCAAGTCGTCAGGCCTCAGAGTCCCTAGTCCCTATTCTTTCATGTTCTGTCTGAAGTGCTGGTGGACTGAAGGTAGGTCAAGAGTTTGCAAATTACATTCTCTGTCTAAAAGGAACTCTGACACAAAAGGAAGAGAGGGAGAGAAAGGTACTTCTGTCTAAAGCAAGAAACACGGGAGCAGCCAGGCAACAGTAGCTCACTCCTATAACCCTAGCTTCTTAGGAGGCTGAGATCTGAGGATCACGGTTTGGGGCCAGCCTGGGTAAGAAAGTCCATGAGACTCTTATATCCGATTAGCCAGCTGGTAGTTGAGCTGTGGCTCAAGTAGTGGTGCACCAGCCTTGAGCAAAAAGCCTAAGTCCTGAGTTCAAGTCCCAGTATTGGTACCTACTCAGGATCCTCTTCTGAGCTCCTTAGAGGCCAAAAGGGGACTGGCATCCACCCTTTTCACACGCACGTTATCCTTTCCTCCTCCCGCACAGCCTGGCTGGTTCGATGTGGGACCTCAATAAAGATTTGTTGAACCATCGAGGTGCAAGCTTGGAGCCCATGGAGAAGGCCTCCAGGGCTTCCAGTCTGGGGCAGGGGGGAAATTGCTGGACATAGTTCTAAAACTAGGGTTCTAGACAAAGTTCTCCTCCCTAGTGAACTTGGGGCCCCATTGAAGCCACTATGCCTCCATGGATTGTGTTTACACAGTAAAAGGAAAGTGCGGATATGATGCTTGACAATCACAAGGTTAATAAAAAAATAGAAGAGTCTTGAAAAAAAATCCCTTTCTACCCCAGCTCCCAGGAGAGCGGTGACATTTGTCCTTTCTTGGTACCTGGGCCCAGGTGGGCTGGCAGGTGAAGTGGCAGGGGGGGTCTCAGCATGTGCATCTCCTCTCCTCAACATGTCCACAACTCAGACACCAAACCTGCTTTGGTGCCCGGGCTCTTGCTGTCAAAGTCACAGGACTCAGAGCCCCTGCCACCCTTCCTCAGCAGTCCTGCCTGCTCGCTGCCTCTTTGCCTCTAACCCAGGATCCATCTCTGGGCTGGAAAAGGATCCCTCCCACACTACTCAGTTATTTTCTTGCCTCAAATGTTCTTAGAACATTCTCTAGAGCTCTATTGGACATTAGTGCTAGAAGATTAGTGGTCAATGCACTTGGAAAACACGGATATAATCCAAGTTAGGTGGGATTCTTTGCTGAATATGCTAATACACTTTGGGAATCTCCAATGCAGGAATAATCCAAACAGCGTTGTGAAGTCTGACTAAAGAGCTCTCTTTTCCCTATAGAGCATCTCTCCTCTGGACTAGTGTTCCATGGAACCACCTTTGAGAACCCCTGCCTTGACCTTGGATACTCTTTCTAACCTGGGCAAGGACATCACATTACCTTGGCTGTTCCTCTGTCAATCACCTCTAGGAGTTGCTTCCTGGGTTCAGGACAGTGGCCATATTTGACCTCTGCCTTCCCTGCTTCCTCTTTTCCTAATGACTCAGATCCACCATACATTTCCAGGAATTTTTTTTCCAATGACAGTTTTCCCAAAGGAATAATAGCTTCCCAGCCACTCCTTTATGCCTTTGAGCAGGCTGTCACAGGGTGGCTGTTTGGGCTCAGTTTACAAGATCATCCAGCAATTATTGCCAGGAGGGGCTAGGATACACATCTATCCTTGGTAACTGTGTGTTTATTGTTGCCCCTCCCATTGTCCACATACAGGGTGATGGAAGAGAGGGTGGGTGGGGCTCAGTGTGCTCAGCATATACTAGAAGCTCAATAAATATGTCTGGAGCAAGCCAATGAGTCTATGCCTTGCAGTAGGAAATTCCCAGCCTATCTCAGAGCTTAAGTGAGAGACAAAAATCTGTCTCAAATGAGCATGAAGGGGTTAATGAACAAGAAGCCTGTTTCCCATGCTGGAGGCCTCATCTCCAGGCTGGGGGGAACAATGGCAGAGAGGTTGACCTTCAGGGAAAAGGGATTCTCTTGGCTAGAGATTCCAATTGGGAAATTGCTGATTGGCCAAGCAGCCTCTCCAAAGGAGCCTCAGCCTCCAGAGGCCCAGCCTCTGTTAGTAGGACTCTTTCACCTCTGGCAATTAGGGTCTGCATGAGAGGCACGGCAGAGGCGATGAGATGGGAAGAAATTTCCCCCACAGCCTTCAAAGCTCATATGATTGTAAAACCAGCAAGTCTTAAAAATGCAGGTTTGAATGAGACTCTTGCAAAGGTTTGGGGTGAAAACACTAAACCAAGCATTGTCCCATACTTGAGTAGGAATTACCTGTGGAGAGCTGGGCACTGGTGACGCAGGCCTGTAATCCTAGCTATTCAAGAGGCTGAAATCTGAGGATCACGGTTCAAAGTCAGCCCGGGCAGTTTCAAAAGTCTGTGAGACTCTTATCTCCAATTAACCACAGGAAAACAGAAGTGGCACTGTAGCTCAAAATGGTAGGTAGAGCACTAGTCTTGAGCAAAAATGCTCAGGGACAGTGCCCAAGCCCTGAGTTCAAGCCCTATGACCAATACCATGCCCCCATCCAAAAAAAAATTTATCTGCAGAGTTTAGGGGAAATGCAGATTCCTGGGCCCCATCAGTCACATAGAATCCAGCTGCATGATGCAGGTCCAGTTGGACACTTGCATTTGATCACATGTCCAGTGGTTGTGGACCTCACGCCCAGGAGCACTGTCTCCTTTCCTGGCTAACATGGTGTCCTGTTGAAGAAGAGCAACATCACCTCTGTGTGGGGTACACATGCCCCCCTTTGACTGGGAGTATGGAGGAAGTTACCTCGCCCTTCAAAGCTTCTATCTTAGTTTCAAAAAGGGGGTAACCCCAGTCTTTACCCAGAGACTTGTTTTGAGGTTTAGAGTTAATCCTCAAACAGAGGAAACAGAGCAGTTAGTTTAGCACATCAAGAACTTGAAATCCGGCCCAATGTTGACTAGCTTTGACATTGGGGAAGAGGAGCAAGGAAGGAGCCACAATTCCCCATTTTCCCTCCTCTCTCTGCAAACTCTGAGGCATGTGGAGAAGCTACACCAACAGTAGCATCTGTGAGTGCTAAATGCAAACAAAACAAAACAGCAAAACTCTCATGCACTGGCTGCAAGTCAGTTACTTTGTTTCACATAAGTCATTCCCAGTCATGGTCAGGCACCAGCTAGAGCCCTGGCCTTAGAGAACACAGAAGCCCTGATTAAGGTTCCAGCCTCCAGAAAGCCCATAGTTTGGTAGGTTTTAGAGAGCGCAATGCTGCTTAGACATCAGCTATACAGTCCCTGTGGCAGGTGCCTGCGACCACAGACTGCAAGCTGCTGAGCATGAGATGAATCCAGAGGGTCTCTGGGAGTTCCTGGATGTAGAGCTTGCAGTTAACAGCTGGGCAGAAAAATTTCTGTTAATAGAGGCTGTAGAGAGTGCAAAGAAGGTATATCAGATTAAGACCAAGAGCACAGGCTGCTACATCTGAAGCCCAGCTTTGCAATTGCTTAGCTGTGACCTGTTGAGCAAGCTCCTTGGGAGCTTCCGCATCACTAAAACAGGCATCCACAAGTACCTGTGTAACAGAAGGCTGGGAGGAAGAAGCTAGAGAAGGAAACCAAGTGACAAGTAAGGGCTGGGCACCTTGTAAGTGCTCAGTAAAGGTGAGCTCTGATGGACCTCATCTATTCAAAAAATTCTACAAGTCACCATATCAGGGACCTCTGGAGGCATGGTTTTTCTTGGCAGGATGAGGTGGGCAGCCTGGGGGTGACATTGCTGTTACAACTGGCTGTCCAGTACCCATCAATCACACTTTGGCCTAGCGGGACACCCTTACTCAGAGGCAGTTCTATATCTCCCAAAGCCTATCTGTGTTACCACCCTGCTCAGCTGTACATCTCTCAGATCTATCAGCCAACGTGGGCACCTTAGTTAACCAGCTTTCACCTGCACAGACCTGGACGTGGCATGGTAAACCCTGGTACTGGTCCCTGAGTTGGTGGATTGTTTGTATGTATGTCCTGGGTTATGCAGAAGGGGAGCAAAGGAGAGGGCTGAGTCATACGACAGCCCCCTTTGAGCCTTTTATGATAGAGCCAATTGTCAACTCCACTGAGCTGGATTTTCACAGATGAGGACTGTTACCACCGATGATCCAGGACCAGACTTTCAACAAGTAACTTCAGTTTGCTGGGAATTAATTTTCTCTGCCTCAAAGCAGGTACAAATGCAAAGAGCAGTTGTAACAGGAGAATCAGGGAACAACAAGCCCACAGAAAGGTCCAGAGCCCCCTTCTAAACCCATGCAAGCAAGGTGGCCTTCACCACCCACTGTCCCTTCTGATATAATGCTGGCCTCGCTCATCAGGGCAGAGTGTTAGCAGCTGTACTAGGAAGACTTCATTTTACTGAAATGCTCAGGAGGTGTGTCCAGTTAAGCAGGAGGAGATTTATTTCACCAATCACTGCTTCTCAACTGGGGTGTAAATGTCAAAGGTCACCAGCTGTTCTCTGTGAGGAAAGCACACCTGTAAATGATGATACTTATATCCGATCCCAGAACTTTCTAGTCACTGTTTGTGTCTGCTTTATTTCAAAACCTCAGCTGGGCTCTGGTGGCTCATGTCTGTAATCCTAGTTACTCAGGAGGCTGAGATCTGAACATTAATCATGGTTAGAAGCCAGCCTGGGCAGGCAAAACTCTGAGAGCTATCTTTAATAAACTAGCAAAAAACCCTAGAAGTAGAGCTGTGGCTCAAGTGGTAGAGCACTAGCCTTGAGCATAAACGCTCAGGGGTAGCACCCAGGCCTTGAGTTCAAGCCCTGGGCAGGCATAATAATAAATAATAATAATACCTTCTTATAATGAATTCAAAGAGTTCCCTTCCCTGTAGTAGGATGCGTTTATGTCATGGCTAGGAGTGGATGGAGTGTCAGTGTCCCTGGCCTCCCTCAAGGACAAGAAGCCATCTCCTGTGTGTCATGGCCTGTGATCTCCCTGTGCTGGGGTCACAGGCCCTGCTGTAAGCGTTCCTAAGCTGTCCCCACCCCGCTGACATCGGTGGCCCTTCTCACACTCTGCTTCATTTTGGGGCTGACCTGGGAGCAGCTGCTCCAAGCAAACAGCCTCCAGTTATAACTGACAGTCCTAGGCCAGCATCCTGACTCCAGGGGTTCCACATGGCAGATCTAGCCACTCACCCCAAAACTCCCAGTGATGAACTGTAGAGAGAGGGAATTTGTGAACAGGCATAGGCAGACCACAGGAAGAGGCTCATTTGGGGCATATAGATAGGAGCATTAAGATTAAATAGAGGAAGAATTGGGGCAAAACGTAATTATTAAACGATCAGGCTTTGTTGATTCTTGTCACTGTGAGCACCTGAAAGGAGAAATGTGCTCATGATAAAGTCATTGTGTGGGAGCAGTCTTGGTTCCTTCACATGATGTTTATCCACCAGTCCTGTCCTTTCTGGATTTCAAGATGATAGCAGGAGGGACAGACTCAGAGTAAAGAAGCCGTGGAAGACAGAGAAGCCAAGCTTTATCCTGCTTTCAGTTAAACTGTGGGCCCTACTAAGGAGTGCTATTGATCTGTTGTACAATGTCATTGTATACCCACATGGAGACTCTTCCAGTACCCACAACTCAGAGGCCTACAGGCAAAGCCAGGTCTATTTTCTTCCTGACCCTGTAAGAGAGAGCCTCAAGTGGGAGTCTTGACACTTCTCTGCCTGGCCACTATTCCATCTCCCATGGCCTTTCTCCAACTCAATGTATAGGGGGGTTGAGCAGAAGCATGGATTCTCCCACTTCAATCATTCTCAAACAAACAAGAGTAAATAAGTTAGAATAACCATCAGTTGGAGCCTGGATAAACTAGCATGGCCACACATGCTACTGCTAACTAAATATACCAGGGTGGGTGCCTTCTCTAGCTATGTTGGCATGGAACAAGCTCCATGGCGTGATGCTGAGTAAAAGGGAAGCAGGGTTCAGAGTGGGGTGCACAAAGTGGTCCCATCTGGGCCCAAAGCACAGGTGCAAGCTATAGTTCAGGGGTGGAAGTGGACCATTTCCAGAAGGTGACACTGGAAATCACTTGCCTCTAGGAAGCAGAAATGGAGGGTGAGGCTGGAGAACAGATCTGATGTTTTTCACTTGCTGTTCTTCTAGGTCATAGTGTTTGAGTGTGTACCTTGCTCACATGGTACTTGCCTATAATCTTCAGAAAGCTGAGATCTTGAGAACTGGGGGTCAAAGGTAGTCCAGGCAGGAAGGTCTGTGAGATTCATCTCCAAATAACCACCAAAAAGCTAGATGTGGAGCTATGGCTCAAGTGGTAAAATGTCAGCCTTGAGCAAAAAAGCTGAAGTTCACCATCCAGGTCCTGAGTTCAAGCTCCAATACTAGCAGAGGGGGAGGGGAGGAACAAGAAAAAGAGAGAGGCATGTGTTTCTAAGCACATATCCTTCCTCTAGGCTATCTGATTCAGGCTTTTCATTTCCCCTAGTCTGCTCTCTTCACAATTGTTGGAGATGTCTCAGGATATTGGTATGTCTCTTAGGAATGAGGGCAGTAACTCAGAAAGAACAAGGCACAATTTTACTTCTGCAGAACATGCTAGTGACAGGAAGCCAAGTAAGCATGTGTTCGAGGTGAGCAGTCCACCAGGTTTTATCCCTGTTGCCGTCCTTTATTCTGATTGGTCAAAACTTAGTTCACAGTCTTGCATGACTGGCTAGTTTGAAAGGAGTTAAAAGTTTATCCAAGCAATCAACCAAAACAGGACACCTGGCCAATGCAGGAACTCGTCAGAAAAACAATTCCTACTCAGCTGGTGCTCTGTCACTTGAGCCATTCCTCCAGACCCTAGGAAAACAATTCAAATAACATGGTATAGCTTAACTAAAATAGCTTCTGGTAGGATGGCACCTGCCCTTGTTTATGTCAAGCAAACAGAAACAATTCTAAGTCCCACCCAATGTAGGTGATTCTTTGCTTCCATTTGGTGGTCAGTGGGGTGCCCATTTCCCCAGCACATCCTACATGTGGGCAGCATGCCAAGGCTCAGAGGCAGCAAGTCCTTCTATACCAAGGTCCAAAGACAGATATCCTAGAGCAGAGGGATGTCAGACCCCAATTTCTGGGCCCCTACCTTGAAAACTTCCACCTGCAAAGTAAGTTTGAACTTGAATTATGTGTGTGTTTCCTGCAGATCACGAAGGCGTCAAGGAAGAGGCTCACCATGAGCCTGGCATACTCGGAGGACCACCAGGTCCGCGTCTCACAGCAGGACTACCGGCTCTTCCGCACCCTCTTCCTGCTCATGGTCTCTTTCTTCATCATGTGGAGCCCCATCATCATCACTATTCTCCTCATCTTGATCCAGAGCTTCAAGCACGACCTGGTCATCTGGCCAAACCTCTTCTTCTGGGTGATGGCTTTCACGTTTGCCAACTCGGCTCTAAACCCCATTCTCTACAACATGTCGCTGTTTAGGAATGAATGGAGGAAAATACTGTGCTGTTGCTGCTCGCTCCCAGAAAAGGGAGCTATTTTTACAGACACATCTGTCAGAAGAAATGATTTGTCTGTGATTTCCAGCTAATTTGTTCTGCTCTGTAGACAGATTCGCTCCCTCTCAGGTGAGCCAGAGTGTGCTTTCAAAGGACAATCAGTGAAGTGTGCCCTGCTTCAAGCAAATGCAAGCTGTGCACATTTACAACTCTTGACAAATTAAGAGACAATCATTCAGTGTAAAAACATTTTTCCTTTCTAAAAGGATCTACTGTGAGTTCCTTTTAAATATGAACTTTTTTAGTGTTTGTAATATGATTGAGCTAATAAAGTTTTATTTATAACTGTTCCTACATATGTAAATACATATTTTATGGTTTCTGAAGGGAGTCTTGTCATTGAATCAGGACTCAGGTTTATCCTTTGAAGGGTCATAGCCACATTAGGCACCACTTTGAACTCATGAGGCCTCAGGTGCACTAAAAATTTATATAAGAGAGCTTAAGAAGGGGCTGGGAAGGTGGCTCAGTGGTAGAGCACTTGCCTTGCATGCTTGAGGCCCTGGGTTCGATTCCTCAGCACCACATAAGAAAAAAGCCCGAAGTGGTGCTGTGGCTCAAGTGGTAGAGTGCTAGCCTTGAGCTGAAGAGCTGAGGGACAGCACCCAGGCCCAGAGTTCAGGCCCTAC